CTTTCAAACAACACAAAAATTGTCCAAATCGGTTAATAAATGACGGAGTTCTGAGGTAACAAACATAAAAAAAAATACAGTCGAATTGAGAACCTCCTCCTTTTTGAAGTCAGTTGAAAAAAAACGCCGAGCGGTTGTCCAGGTAGATCACTCATTGTAACACGTGTATAAAACCGCTTTTATAATAGCCTAGTCTAGCTTTTATAATAGTATTTAGTATAATTCATTAATTATACATACACACGTGCCCACGACGATAACGTACGATTATATTACCATTGCTGTATTTTCCTTTTATTTTATTTATCATTGCGATCTAGTGCTAAGCAAAATATGCTTTTAATATATATGGGCATGAAAATGTTTATTTCATTTTCATGGATAATTATTGATAAATATTAGGAATTTCTAACAACATTCGTTTTTCTTTGCTTGTTTTTATATCGAGTACTACTCAGACTACTCATTATTAAAAATCCAAAATGGCGGATTTCATGTACGAATGTCTTTCTCAACAAGGATCAAGATCAAGAGTACCAAATAAAGATTTTTAAGAGGCCATCATAAAGTTATTTACAAATTATACATATGTTTCATAATAACTTAATATTTAAAGAAATTGTTAAATAAAACTCTAAATGTATAGTTACTCAAAACTGAGAACTAAAACATATATCTTAAAAATAAATAAGGCTGACTGAGTAAAAAACAAACTAAAAATAAAATAAAATAAAATAAAAAAAAAGAAGGGAAAAAGTTAGTGAACGAAATAGTATTTACTCGCAGCAAAGATGGAACATGTACATATATATGTTCCTATTTTCGTTCGTTATCTTGATGAGAGCTAGTTCTCTATTTAGTTCTCTTTTTACGTCACCATTTTGTATTTTAATTATTACTTACATTATTTTATTAGTTTTACATACATACCTATAAATAACGATATTATATACATAGCGCCATCTGCTGACGATCTCGATTATTGGCTGTATTAAAGTTAAATAAAGTAAAATATTCTTAGTACCAATAGAATTGATATTTAAAAATAAATAATTTTGTATTAAAAACTCTTTTGCTAAATTGGTCGTTTGGACAAACAAGCACTGAGACGACGATATATTTTTAATCGAGTTCAAAAAGGAGGAGGTTCTCAATTCGACTGTATGTTATTTTAACAAAAAAATATATTTTGATATTATATGTCGTGTAATAATAATATTTATAACAAATGAGATCTTTATTTAAAAACTCCAATAGGATCTCATCAAAAGCGACCAAAGCCACATAGAAACCAATACATATTTATTGGTTTCCATGTGGCTTTTGTCGCTTTTCATGAGATTCTATTGGAGTTTTTCAACACTGGATGTTATTAACTAAATTTAAAAAACGATGCTGTAAATAAGCACGCACAACACAACTTCACGTTATATCCCTTGCTAGGTAGGTAGAGTAAGTAAAACTAAAGTAATCAGTCGAAAATTAATTAACATGCCACAATGGCTAATAGAACTCACCGAATTTAATTAAAATATGTGAAACACGCACGCACTCTCAAATGTAATTAACACAGCACAAAATGTCTTTATTGAGCTAAAATCGAGTTAAAACTGAATAAATAAAAAAACGAATTCTTAAAGGCAATGCAATTTTAAATATACAGCAAACCGCCATATTAAATATAAATTTCATTAAAATAAAATATATATTCAAGGTCAATAAGCCGGTAAAGCAGGATTTGATTTAATATGTATGCACAATTTGAATAAATTAGTGAGATGTCTTTATGTAGGCACATAAAGCATGATAAAAAAAAAAAAAAGTACGAATGAAGCTTGTATAAAAAGATAAGAAAAAATTTGCCTTTGTGTTGCGTTTTTCATATGAATTTTGTTTGGGGCGGCCGGATAATATCCATACTAATATTATAAATGTGAAAGTGTGTTTGTTTGTTTGTCTTTCACGTCGCAACGGCTTGGCGGATTGGCGTGATTTTTTGTGTGAATATAGATGGAGGGCTGGAGAGTGACATAGGCTACTTTTTACCGCGGGAAATTATCTTTTTCCCGCAGGAAAATATGTCATAATACAATCCAAGAAAAAAATTATGATCAGGATTACTTGAAACTTGGTATAAATGCTCTTCAATACAATTAATTACATACGTTTTTTAGCATTTTTCGAAATTCATTTCAGAAGGTGGTAAAATAGCGGATGAAAGTTTGTATGAAGCCTACCATTTTAAAGTTTTTTTTTGCAGTTTTAGCGCGAGCGAATCCGCGGGTTCTGCTAGTAATGTATAATTACTTATTATTAATTGTTATATTTTATAATTTAGTTATAAATGGTTTACTTTTTAATAATATATTATGAATGATGAATTTCTAGATATACTCTTTGGAGAGTTATCGATATTTCGGCAATTTTACAAATGCCATAGCCATGGGTGTAAAACAAGCACATGGTAAATGTTCTATCTTATGTCATAATAATATTGTTAGTGACCATGAAAGTTTAAAGACTTCTAACGGTAAGCTTAACTTGATCACCATAATTGATTGATTAATATAATTGTTACTGTATTTTTTTATATTAATAGCAATATTTGGACTAGAAGTCAACGTCCTTATATCTTTCCTTGACCTTCTGATCTACGCTAGTCAAAATGTACATACATCTATACTAATATTATAAAGAGGTAAAGTTAGTGAGTTAGTGAATTGTGAGTTTATGACGTTGTAGGGGGTAATCTCTGGATCTACTGAACCGGTTTAGTTGAAATTTTGTAAGAAAATAGTTTGAGACCCTGGGAAGGACATAGGTTACTACTACTTTTTATCCCGAAAATCATCCCTTAGGGGGTGAAAATGGGGATGAAAGTTTTTATGGGAAATCAAACTAGGGACGAACCCGAGCGAAGCAAGGGTGAGTCGCTAGTATATACCTAAATATTTAGGTAATTATAACTACAAACATATTTGCTTTCAAGTCGTTTTTGAAGTTATACTTTGTTTGGGACGTTTGGAAAAAATATGAGAGTAAAATTTTGACACTGCGCGCGCGCACCGACAGCCAAACAGTGACATGATGAAGTTAGCTGATTACTGTTTATTGCCATGGTAACCGTAGTTTTTGTCTGACAAATGATATATAATATTACATTCTTTCCTTAAAGGATATTCTATAAATATATGATTGTATTATATCTAATATGCCTTATTTAATTATTTTATTAATTTCCTTTCACTCCTTTTACAAATAGAGAGTCGTGACATACGGGAAGAAATCTAAGATATTTTTGTTCTGTTGCGCCAAAGGTATAAATTCTTACGTCCGTACATAAGTACATACACACACATACACACACACGTATTTTTTATTTTATCTTCGCGTAAATGGACAACAACTACGATACTACGAAAACTACTAAATGGATTTTGATGAAATTTTACAACAATATACTCGTAGCTTATACATCAGAATAGTACATAGGTTACTTGTTATCCCGAAAAATTTACGGTTCACGTGGGATAGATTTCTCATTGATTTTTGCGAACCCGAGCGAAGCGAGAGTGAACCGATAGTATTATAATAAAATCAAATGAAATATGACCTTTGAAATAACATGAAGGAATTTACCCTTTCTCGGAGTTGATTAGTTCCTGATACTGGTGTATGGATACGAGCTTATGACACAAGTTACAGTGGTAAACTACCCGTCGATAATACCGTGACAAACAAATTTCACGCTTCATTCTAATGCTATCACGCTGATAGCTTTGTAAAGAAAACATCATTTATAACATAAAGCAAACATTCTAGCGCATTAGCGTTACAACTAATGGTCTTTTACTGTACGTGTATAGTTACCTTAATTTCTTACATATTTTTTTTATTATTAACTGGCTTAGGCCTACTGTTTTGTGTGCTTATTCACTTTAGTTACATAGAGTTAGGAAGGTTTTACTAGTTAATAAAAAATATTTTAATAATTAATTTCTTAATGGAAACAGAAGGATAATGTGACACAAGTATAATTTAAGCTATGACGAAAATAAAAATATATCAAACTTCTATTATAATTGTGAAAGTTTGTTTGTCTATGTGTGTATATTTGTAATTCCACGTTGAAACAGCTGGACTCATGTGGATGAGTACCTATACAAATAGCTTATGATCTGGAGTAACACATAGATTACTGTTTCACTCTTAGGGAAGCACCCGATAGTAAGCCTTATATTTAATTAAAAAAATGTCAAAGTCAAAAGTAATTACTTTCTTCACAGAGTAATGGAAAATTCTATATTATTAAGTTGTTTTTATTTTTTTATATATTTATAAAAAAACGTATAGTAAGAAAATAAAAAGTATATAAAGTGATAAAAAAATATTACTTTATATGGAGATTATAAATTATAATATCAATACTTAGTAATTTTATTCATACATCTACGTCTTTATCTCTACACGAAACTTCCAGAAGCATGCACCCATGAACATTTTTTTTAATTATTATATTTAAAACTATCATTTTTGTCTGTTTATTTCTATGACACCCGATCTGTATTATACTTTTGGTCTGAGAACATATACATATATTACTAGAGACTCACCCTCGCTCCGCTCGGGTTCGTCCCTAGGGTGTACCGGCCTTATCACTTAGGGGTATGAAGAAGGGTACTTTACGTCCTATTCTCAGACTTACTGTGTATACACACAAAATTTCATAAGAATCAGTCAAGCCGTTTGGGAGGAGTTTTGTTACAAACACTGCGTTGTGACACGAGAATTTTATACATATATAAATTAGAAGATATACGAGTATGATAATCATAATTAACTTAAGAGATCGTTAAGTTTTCTTATGTTTATTTTTTGTGATAACGGCCTATAATTTGAGTTAATTAAATTTAATAATATGTATTCATATACAAAATATATAATTATAATAAATAATTATTATAATAAATAAATTATATAAAAAATATTCAATAACATACCTCAAGTGCAAAAATCCTAAATGTTTTAGCACTTAAACACAAAAGAAAAAAAAAGGGCGGGAAAACTGACAGGTACGAGTTGCGTCGGAAAACTGCCTAGAGAAAGGCTAGAACCGGTATTTACTACGATTGCTTATCGAGTGCATTATCTTACACACTATAGACTGAACTTAGAGACTACAAAACCGTACTTTAAAGTTTATTTACATACTTTATTGCAGAATTTGTTTTAATTAATAATTGAGGTAAGTTGTACATAAGTTTTGGACTCAAACTTTGTGTATATATTTGATATATTATATATGTATATTTTACTGTTATATTATACTTTTTATAAATAAAGTGATGATATAAGGGTATTTTGTTTATTATTTTATGCTATCTTTATTAATTCCGTTCAAGAATTATATTAACTCTTTTAATTACCATTATTATCGCTGTGCAAAAATAAGTAATTACTGTGAAAAAGAGTTACGGCCTCATTAATATTAAAAAAGGCATAAGATATAATTGCTTACAATATATATATATATGTATATATATATATATTACAAATAATATGTAATTATTATAGAGACATTGTTTTTCTGAATTCGTTTAACTTCATTCATTTTATTAGTCTTATAATTACGGTAGTACATATTTTTTATAGCACTCGCCCTTCAGATATCAGGTTTTTTTGTGTTTTATAAAATTAACCTGAGGAAGTGAATGAAATTTATGACGCATCTATATCTTAGCCGTGGCCATGCGCTATTAAAAGAAGTTAAGCCAAATTACAAAACATGCTCAAATGAGAATGTTCTCGTAGTTCTTTAATATGCTTATATTTATTGTAATTTTTTGTTACATTTTTTTTATTAAACATTCAAACAATATGAATTAAACTATTTCTTTTTTAATTTTTAAAATTTTATGCAATTGCTTAAAATATCTCGTATGTAAAAGCATAAATCTTTTCAATTTTGAAAAAGCTCACTAATTACTAAACAAAGAAATAGTATTTATTATTAAAATGTGAAATGTCTTTAACACATATATTGTTCCCAAACGTTACACTTATAAATACATATAAGACTCTATAAAAATACTATTGTGTGATAGAGAAAGAGAGGGGGACCGTCGGGGCACTCGCGAAACTAACGACTGAATTGTTACCACGCCTGCGCTGAAGGCGCAGGAGCGGTCGCGGAGATAAATTCCGCTGACGGTGCTGTAGACATTGCGACGCCACGGCACGGGCACCGGATGCGCATTCCGCTGACGCGGCTATCGCCAATGTGTCGCCACATCATCGTAATTATTATTAACTAGCGAATCAGTCCCTAGCTTGCTTCCCAATACAAAATTTTATTCCCATTGTCACCCTCTTAAGGGATGATTTCTGGGATAAAAAGTATCCTATGTCCTTCCCAGGGTCTCAAACTATCTTCTAACTAAATTTCATGTAAATCGGTTCAGTAGATACAGAGATTACCCCCTACAACATCATAAACTCACAACCTAACAAACTCACAAACTTTACCTCTTTATAATATTAGTATAGATGTATCTTTGCTAAGGCGAAAAACTGACTTTTGAAAGAGTCTTTAATGTACGCTTTTATTTAAAAAGTATTCTATGACGGAATGAAAAATATGCTTTAAAACTCTATATTTTTATTTTGGACTTACATAGTTCAAATTCTCTCGGTATTATATAATTTATCTTATACGAGTATAGTTATGTAATCTGAATAATAAAGTTTTACTTACAAATATCGCTCATCACTTAAATAATTTGAATTTATTATATATCACAAATCATATTATAAAACTTAAATTATAGTTTCTAATAATTCGTTTAACAGAAATGGCAAGAATAATAAATTATCTTGACGACTTACAGATATGACCTACGGATATACTCGTATGTATCTTATATTCTGCCTATGCAAATACTTATGTCTTATGCCTCTGTGAGCAGAACTGCGGGGTTAAACTAGTATGGAAATAAATAAAACAGCAAAATACAATTGTAATAATATATTTGTCAGCTAACTTCATTAACAAATCGAACAAGTTAACATGACAATAAATATTTTACCTAACACACAACTCGCGGTAATACTTATATATTATACATACGTCTAACAGATTACATCGATAAGATGATCTCCTTATTAGAGGTGGAGAAAAAGATGTGCTAGAAACATTGTCAACGAACTAATCGATTTGTGGAAATGTAAAAACATTTTTTATACCTTGAAGTTAAAACTCGATTTATAGGTACAGGAAGTACTTTATACCAGTGGATGGAGGTTTGTTTTTGAATTATTTTTAAAGGTTGACATAAACACAAATTCAGATACAATGTTATATGTAAATATTTACACACTCAGTGGCGGTTTTATTATTTTTATTGTAAAAACTAACATTTAATGTGTTATAAAAACATTTTAAATGTTGAATATTTATTACATGTACGGTGGGTATTTATATTTATATATTATTATTTTGAAAAGTCGAGAATTCTTTGGGTAAATCATGATATTTCCTTGCTTATTATGCTCATTTAGAATATAATTATACATTATTACGCTTATCTTGTATAATTTTGTTTTACTTGTCACGTATTTGCCTCATATTTTGCGATGAGACCGATTTAATAATCGATCAAAAAAGTACTACATACACAATCCCATGTGAAAATTCTCACAAAACTGACACAAATTGTGTTTAGATAATTATTCTAGTTGAAATAAATATAAAACAATGTAAATTTTACCTTAAATGCATTGTATTAAACATTTTTGTTGTTCACAAAAAAAAAATCGCGCTCAAATGTTCAAATGTGCGCTCATTCGGTGAGGACATTTTTGTCGCTGATTGTGCATCTAGTACTTTTTTAATCGATGAATCTAACCCACAAACCTTGACCAAAGTCGCCATTATTAGATGTCACCATCATTAATAAGCAATATTAAGCTAGCGTTATTTTTTTATTAAAACCGATACAAAGATCAATTAAATATTTTAATAAATACATTAGATTAAGATACGAGTAAAATAGGGCGAAGGCACAAAGTTAACGTATCCGAGCTTAAAGGAAATGATATAGTAGAGGAGACTGGGGACAACCAACCCAATGGAATTTAAAACGAAGTATATTGATCGGCAAATATCTTAAAATTACCTTCTTATCTTCTTATTTAGTATTAATCGAATTTAGGTCCCTTTGGCGGGTTATTATATATAAGAAGATAAATAATCTCCATAACCCCCCCCGCACCCTCCCTCCCCCCATCCAGATAACATATTTGCCGGTCATAATATCTATTATAAAAAGCGTTCCCTAGTAGATATGTTATTAGAATAAAATGCTAAGTTATTTGTGCGTAATATCTTATTATCAATCAAGTATGAATTGTTTGTCCCGAGACTACGAGTTATAAAATAGGTTAAATAGTGATTTAATCATGCAATTAAACGCTTACACTAATCTTATAGTACTTTTGATGTACATTACAGATTATTTATTTTAAAAACAATAATATTACGTCTACATTATATAATATTATAATAATAATATTACAAAGAGCGTTATGTTTGTATAATTTCGTAATAATAATAACTAATAATGCCTTTTACATGTTTAAGAAAAAAAAAGACAGAGATAAACAATTTATATATATTAATAGAATAAAATTGGAAATGTCATTTTTTTTTAACTTTAAGTATATTATTACACTATAATAAACATAATTGGTTAAACTTTCAAAATACGCTTATTTATTTTGTTTGTATATTAAATAACAATTAACATTAAAATATAATTAAAACTATACAATAAAGGTAAAAAATAAATTTTAATGACATTTAATTCCAAGAATTTCGAAAATAAAAGTTATATCATGCATAAACATACACAATAAATAAAATCTTACTTTTTTTTTAATTACTGATAGAGTTCTAAATCCTTATATAAGGCCTAATCACTTATCGGACCTTGAAAAATAAATTAAAGAAATAGATGAGCAAAAAACTTAACGGTATTGTTAGCATTTCATGTACCACAGATTGTAAAAAACATATTGCTATTGTAAAATTTATTCGGACTTTGTTGGAAATTTACAACTATATAACCTTTTTTTAGTGTTTTTTTTTATTAAATTACTTAGGTATAACTAGATAATGTGGTTTTTATATTTTTGTCGAAATAATATTAAATTGCTTCTGGGTTTAGTGCACTTTTTTGACAAATAAATCAATACTTTTTATGTAGATACTATTTAATATATTCAAAATTTTATCGATTTATTTTAATAAATATTCATAATTATGAGATTATGATTATGCGCAATAAGAAATAGAATTGGTGAGGAATTTTATACTATCTAAGAATTTGGAAACATATAACATATAAATGTCTACAGTGAAAATTGAGAACAGTGTTTGTCCTGAAAGTACAATATTTTAGTATTGTGTATTTGGATAACAAAAATGACTTAAATTTTAGCGATTGGAGAAATTATTCCTTTTCAACAATTAGAAAAATACCTTCTATCTAGGCATTATTGAAATGAAATTATCGCAACAATTAAAACTAATTTCCATGATAATTACCATTAAATTCCTATAATGGCTTGGAATTTCACCTTTCCATGTTAATAGCGTTAGAAGGCAAACATCCAACTAGAGGATAATATTACAAGAATACAATTAGCAATAAACTAAGCCCAGAACCTCATTTTATGGAGTTGGTAAAAAATGTTTTTTTTAATAGCATAATATAAAATACCAAGACAAGCTATACTTTTTGTTAATGTATGTTACCTTACTTTATTGAACTATTTAAAATCTCACTCGTACGTATTGTTAAAGATTGAAATTTAGAAAAAGACCTAATTATACATATATAATGAAAATTTATATATATATATATATATATATATATATATATATATATATATATATATATATATATATATATATATATATATTAGTAAATGGTGTAATATTACATTAAATAAACGATAAATAAAAAAAATATTTGGATTTTTTTTTTTGTAGAGACCCGTATGTGGTTACGCACCAATCGCATTAAGCTATCGTAAAGCAGTGCTACTCGTAAAGGTTGGTTTAGACTGAGATACTATACACGGTACACTCAGTGTATACACCGAGTGTCTTTATGTGAACGCGAGTGTCTCTAATTGTGAAATTTATTGCGACAAGATAATTAAGTAGTGTCGTACGTGTGTCGGCTGTGTGAACAAGTTGTGTCCAAGTGTCTCGTGTGGTTGAAAAGTTTTCGTACAGCTTCGATATATTCAATCTTACCGCGTACAAGATAGTACTTAAAAAAAATTCGACACTGAGCAAGGATTGTGAACAGCTCGGACACAATTTCGGTACATTTATATACAGACACTAAAAACCGTACAGAAATTAATTCTTGACATTTGTTGGGACATTAACACACAGCACCATCTAGTTCCATGGTAAGCTACGAGGCTTGTGTTATGGATACCAGATAGTTGATACACTACATATATATAACGTTTTAAATACATACATATTATATATATAAACACCCATGAGTGGAGTACAAACATTCATATTCATCATACAAATGTGTGTCCCCAGCGGCACTCGAACCCGCGACCGCTGGCACAGCAAGTAGGGTCACTACAAACTGAGCCAAACGTGTCGCCAATACCATCGTCATTAATATTGTAACTTGTCGTAAGATTTCCAGATGATGAAACGAAAATGATCAAACGTTAACAATCGGATTAACATGATAACGTTAAACTTTACTTTGATATGATTATGGTGTTTTATCTATATTGAGGTTTACCGAAGAATTAACTAAGAATCTGCTCTTAATTATATATAACATTAAAGACATGAAAATACAATAATTAGAAGTGTAATACAATGTTTTATCCCAAAAAAAAATTGACAACGTCAAAACAAAATTTATTGTGTAATCAAAATTTATTTAAAATATATCCGAAAATAACACTAAAAATTTAAGTAATGCTCGTAAAAAATGTTTTAAAAGACAAAAAAATCGAAAGTGCATTTTACAAGACTTCCGCGACACCATTCAGACAAAGAGACAATAGCATTCCCAAGGAGGGTTGACGTCAGGCAGGCGGCCGGTCGTAAAACTTTTGCCAAATCCTATCAGCAGTACAGAAGATGTGCTGCGCCGACCCCAAGTGATTGGGAAATGGGCAGGGAGAAGAGAAGAATGTTTTATCCCAGTTCATTCCTGCTATACTCAGGGTTCAAACTACTCCTATCACAAATTTCATCACAATAGATTTAGCCGTTTAACTTCAAAAACAAACAGACAACCCATTATACACATTTTTATTTATAATATGTATATTATATCAAATGGCTGATTTAATCATTTTGTTTTAGATAGATTTAAATATTTATTTTTTTATACACTCGATAATGTAAATGTATCTATATATTGAATATGATTTCTGCGTCGCCACAAACGTTACTCGGAATAAAATTGTAAAATGACATGAATCATCAAGTATCCCTAATTATATATCACTCAATCATTTTGAATACTTTACTTTTATAAGATAAACATTTATAATCGAATAAACGTTTGTATGTATGTATATTTACATAATTGTATGTATGGATTACGCATGAATTATTGTATTGATTTTCCAAATTACAATATATCGAACAAAGCTACAATAAAAATTATTTTATTTTTATAAGTATTATTTTTTGGTATTTTTTTTTTTGGAAATTGTAATAAATAATATTTTTTTTTTACAATTCTTTTAAAAGGATTAATAGTTCAGTATTTTTAAACAATGAATAATATTACATAACGGAAATTAAGTAGCGTTCTACATTTAAAATATTTTAAAACACGTCATACATTAACAATTAAAGAACACTTATTACAAAATGTATTACAATCAAGCTACTTCAACATCTTATTCTATATTTTTTTAATTAGAAATACTACTAAATACTAACAGTTATATTCTCTTGCGTTTTTGAAATAAAAAAGAAAAAAAAATATGAAAAAATATGCTTTATTATTAAAAAAAAACAACTAAGAAATAAGTATGTATTTATTATTAACATTATGTTTTTAATTCTAGCTTTATGCCTTAAAACAGCTACATTCAATTCATTTTATTTTATCTGTATAAAGTAAATAATAAAAAAAAAAGATTAATCCTCCCTTCCTCTGCTAAGACTAAATCTACGGTGAAATTTGAAAGACGTTTTTCGTTTTTCATGTTTCGTCTCTTCCGCAGGCTTATTATCAACGAGATTATCCGCACTTTTAGCTACTTGGACGCTTTTTCGTCTATTTTTCATTGATTTAACTAATTTGTAAAACTTGCCTTTCTTTTTAACAGGATCGAGTGTTAGTTCTGAGAATTCTTCTACTTCTACGCTGAATTCTGATGATATGTCTCCAAGATCTTCGATGCTGTGGCTTTCTTGTTTGACTGGAACTTCTAACTTCTTTGATGTGTTTGGTTTCGGTTCGGCAGGTGGAGGGGGCGCGTCAGGATCTATGCACTGAAAAATGAAATACATAATATTTCATTAGTAAATAATGTCAATATACCTAAGGCTTAGCAGTAAGTATATGAATATAAATTTTTTTATTTATAATAAAAGTATATATAAGAGAATAAATTAATTTTTGGTTATATATTGTCGCGTAATGGTGAGTGTGTAACGTCATTACATCAAAATGATAATTAAAAAGATACGTCTGGAGCATGCTTTATGCATCCTAAGACAGTTGTCACAACATTTCGAGAGAGGCGTAGAAATTACTTGAATTTAGACAAGAACAGCTAATTATAAATTGCCGTGTGTAAGAGTGAGAGAGGAACAAATATTCGAAATGACTAGAAGGTTTTGAATTTTCGTATACTAGAATGTTCTTTGTTTATGCATATAAAAAAGTAGGCAGTATGTCGAGAGATCAGTTGAATTTCGAAGTTAAGTGAAGAAGTACGAAAAAAGTGAAAAGTAAAAAAAAATTGAGTGAAGCTATAGTGGAAGTGTTTTAGTGGTGAAAATTAGTGTCCAGTGACTGATTTTAAGCAGAACTGGTTATATACTGTGCGTGTTAGTGAATCTCCAAAAGTCACTCTTGTTAAGCAGGAGTAATAAAACATCGATAGTGCAAAAAACGTGGTTTAATTTCCGATTCCCGAACTGATAGAACGTAACAAAATGACTGTTTTAAAATTTTATTAAGTATTATTTTTAAATGTTTGTCTGTTAGTTTTCCGTTCCTGTAAAATAAAAGCTTATTGCAAAAATTCAACATGTCTACAAGTCGAATATCAAATCACCGAAAAAAAATCACTTATTAGTTATTTATCCTACTTTGAGGAGCCGCCTTCTGAAGTGGTTTATGATAAATCAATAAATTGGTGAAGCGAGCGAATCTACTTATAGAACAATACTCAGTTTCTTGTTATACCAAAGTAAAGTTTGGTCATGAATAAATTTAAGGTTTCCATAAGTCTAAAGAGAAAAGTTTTTTCGATTGGCATTTGTCAATCACTCGGTTTTAATATCGAAAAGTTTGGAGTGTTCGAAGGATGCGAATGATTAAATTATTATTATTGAAGAAAACCTTAAGTGTTATTCTCTTTCTTATGAATTAGTTATTAGCCTGTGACTTCGCCTGCTTTTATGTTTAAATCCCAATATGACTTCCGCATAAATGGATAACTTAAGTTATACTTCTTTTGTAAGTCTAAAGGTAAATGATTTTATATAAGGGATGTAAAAAAAATATGTACATCAGTATTTTTTGTCTGTCAGTTTATTTATTTACGTAGTTGATGGGTTTTAATAGATATTTTACCACAAACACGTTATCGAGATTTTGCATAAAATGGATATGATGATAATGGAAGTTTCGATAACGTTAATTTTTTTAATTTTTGATAAATGTAAAAAATAGTATTTTTTTTAATTATTCATTTTTCTAAAATAAAAAAACATTTACGATAACGCGAAGATTTTTTTTAATTATCCTTCGAATTTTGCCACCACTGAAAATTTTCCGCCCTGGGCGCTAGCAAAGAGAGCCCCTAGTGTAAATCCAGCGCTTGTTATAATTATGATGATAACGACTTAAGGAGCCTGCCCACTAAACTATCTCATACCATGACCATGCTATGAACGTATCAGACACGGAAACGAGCATGGCACGGACTATCATAGTCTATACAGCATTAATATTTATCTAAAACCTTCCAGCAGTTTAAGCGTAAAGACAAACACACATTCAAACTCATTTACAAACTTTCGTTTATTATATCATAATGTTCTCCTAGCCGATTCCGGCCACGGCGGCTAATCTCATTGAGACTAGCTAACTGCGCAGGAGATATTATAGTGTACAAGTGTACGCGCAGACACAACGTGCACTCTCTATTCTTGTCACTCTCATACTCCGGTGGGACGACTGCTCGACACGACCGGTGAGAGTTAAGGCACAGGACGAGCGACGGGGGTGAAAACACCGCCAACTTCCCAACTCCGGGCTGTTACTGAGGCTTAAAATACAGAAAGACTCAATAACTAAACTTGGCCCGATCCGGGACTCAAACCCAGGACCTCCGGGTATGCAGCCGTACATGCTAGCCACTATACCACCGAGGCAGTATTATAAGATAGTAGGTATAATATACATATAATATTAGTCCAATAACAATTGCCAATTAACGTATAATGATATTGTAAATTACTCGCCCAGATCCTCTTTTCATATAATTTATATCAAGTACAAACTAAAATGCATGCTTGTGGAAAGTAAAATACGTAATTAGTTTACATATTAGTGGAAGCCGTCAAATAACAAAACTACATTTAATAATAATATACACATTATCTGGAGGCCATCTTTGGGCAATTCCCTATGGGTTACTCAGAGACGGATCCCGGCTGATGTGTCACATTAAGCAAACTTGAATGCCTTAAGGCCTCTACGTGTTGGACCTGAGTCCCCACGCAAGCCTTGCAACGGACCGGGCTCCTTTGAGCTCGTGAAATCCGAATATATAATAGTAATAAAAATATTAGTACGTAGTTTTACAACGGAGAATCTATACATATAATAAAATTCTGAGTCGAATCTGTACATTAAATATTTTTTTAAATCTTATTGAAATAGTCATTATTATCGATACAGAAGCCGAATATATAGTTTTTAGAATTCCTGTCTGTTTGTCTGTGACTGCTTCACGAGAAAACTCTAAACAGATTTTGATGAAATTTACTACAATGATAGTTGATTATCCGGGTTAACGTATAAGATACTTTTTACTGCGGGAAAATATCTCATCTTTGAGAAATCTATAAATCTATACTAAAAGTCAAAATGTGAGTGAAGACGAACTCGAGCGGAGCGAGGGTGAGTCGCTAGTATAACATAAAATATGGAAGACGACACTTTGTTCGTGTGTGTATTTATCAATGTGTGTTACTTCTTCACTCTAAAATGGCCGTACTTGGCTAAAAACTTTTATACACATGGACTATGATATGAAGTAACACGTAAGCTGATAGAAACTTTGGTGTCTTGAGTAGAAACCTGAGTAAAGCGAGATTAAGTTGCTAGTATTATAAGGAGATTAACAAATAGAAGCTACTAAAAACATCTTAATATTAACTCACATCTTCTAATTTGATCCGATGCGGGGGCACTTGTTCTGGGTGTCTCCAGGGCTTGTAGTAGGGGGTGTCCGTGAGCGCCTTCCAGCCGGGGTAGCGCCGCGACGCCGCGTGCAACTGGTTCACGAGACGCGGCGCTAGCTGAGCTGTTACCCTGCATTTATTGTAGTTATTTATAATCTATATTTATCTATACAAAATTTAAATAAACAAACAAATAACTGTAAATAAATAAACAAATACAATTACTTACCCAAAAATGGTTTTCCCTAACAACCTAAAAATCGTCGCCTCGGTGCTTATTTGTCCAAACGACCAATTCACCGAAAGAGTATGTATATATAAATAAACATTCTACTATTAAAAGCAAAAAAAAAAATGACAATGTCAATACAAAATTTATTGTGTAATCGAAATTTATTTTAAAATATATCCAAAAATAACATTAATCATTGAATTAATAGTATAAAAAAAGACCATTCAGACAAAGAAAGACAATAGCATTCCCAAGGAGGGTTGACGTCAGGCAGGCGGCCGGTCGTAAAACTTTTGCCAAATCCTATCAGCAGTACACTGAAGATGTACTGCGCCGACCCCAAGTGATTTGAGAAATGGGCAGGGAGAAGAAGAAGACTATTAAAAGCAAAATAAATGTATTTTGTATATATACATATCTATCTATATAAACCTTAAAAATGTCTCTACTGTAAAGTAGGTACAACAAGAGATTGATCGTTTGAACAAATAAGCACTGAGGCGACGAAATATTTACATAATAAACATGTCAAACGTTTATTTATTAATGAAATTAACTCTAAGTAATTGCGCACAATAAATGGTGCTAATAGTTAAAATATTCATGTATGGGCTACGAGGTGGTACTTGGATTGGAGTTCTAAGTAAACGCTACAAGTAAACAATTGAAGCTCAAGTGAACTCGACGAATTTGACAGAGAGCTTATGTACCTTTTTTTTTTTTATTGGCCAATACATAACAAATACATTATAATTTGCAATTTAAGTACCACGAAAACCTCGCGGGTTTATCTGGGTACAGAAATATATGACATAATTTAACATTGTATTTTAATTCAAGATATTACATCCATGTTTCTTACTAGGAAAAATAATTTAGCCTGTTACATTTAGTTATGTTTGTTAATTTTTCAGTTTTTCATCAATTTTATGGTCATATTAAATGAATTTCAAATAAACGAAGACGTGTTGATGTATCATGTACAAATATTTTGAGAGTTAGGTGTACATATAATTAAATAAATAATTGAAAATCAGTATAATTTTGGTTACATTGCATATTTACATATTGTATACCTAAGTTCAAATCTCGCGCTTTGTTTGTTCGAGCTAATCATAGAAACGACATAGAAATAAGTTATCGATACGATGAAATTTTCTCGGAAAAAATAACCTTTCTAAGAACTTCCATAGTTAATATTATGATGCCTAGCTAGCTGCACTATGGTCAAAAAACGAGGGTGGGTATTATTTAAAACAATAATAATTCTTTATATAAGTTGTTTCTCTTAAAATTAAAATATGCATAATTTCAAATTAAAGAGCAAAAAGAATATATTAAAAACTTATAATAGGTAGGTAAATAATAAGTATACTATATTATCAACGTGCTAGAGTGGAGACCGCGTTTAGGCAAGCGTAGGGGACGCAGCATGATGGACAGACATAATAAAGGATGGATGCGGGCTGCCCAGGACCGAGATGGTTGGCGCTCATTGGGGGAGCCTTTGTTCAGGAGTGGACAGCGATAGGCTAATTGAATGATTGATATTATTATATAACTTACCTATTAACTAACCAAGCCGGTAGCGCCCCCCGAGGATCTGATCTGGACACGTAACCGAGCCAGCTTCCAGGATTTTGCCTTCTTCTCACCACGAAACCCGTCAGTAAAGAAAGAGCTCTGAAAAAGATACATTTAGTAATAAAATAATTTATTAACTTTCCAACATAATATTTAAATCGAGTTTAAAATAACTTTTAAAATACTGATTCTTTCTTAGACGAATCTTTTTTTTTTTAAATAAAAATGGGACAATATTAGTAGTATTACTAATTTCATCAATAATACAAGAACTACTTAAAACGTTTCTCAATCGATGAAAATATCCCATAATGTACAAAAAATATACTCTCAGATTGATAACCTTATTTTTTTGACGTAGGTTAAAAAGATCACTTCTTTCAAAATTAATATCTATCTACACACGAAATAAAGTATAACGTAAATTATTCGTTGGTGCTTGATAACCCAATAAATAATTTCGAAATTGTAGAAAACATCGCGTAAACACACAAACCCATACAGCCCAATTGAGTACCTCTTCTTTTTTGTAGTCGGTCAAAAATAACTTTTGACTTTTTTAAGCAATCTCATTTAAATCATCAAATAAGAAACACGAATGTAAAGCTGTTCATAAAAGCTAGCTTATAAAGAGATCTTTCATTATAGGAAGACTTTAATAAATAAATACGTTGGGACATTCATTAACACACAGCACCATTTAGCTCCATGGTAAGCTACGAGGCCTGTGTTATGGATACCAGATAGTTGATACAATACACATATATAACTTTAAATACATACATATATTTTAAAATATAAACACCCACGACTGAAGTACAAACATTCTTGTTCATCACACAAATGATTGCCTCCAGCGGGACTCGAACCTGCGAGCGCTAGCACAGCAAGTAGAGTCACTACAAATTGAGCCAAACGTGTCGTCAAACGTACTAAAAACTCGATGTTCTTTACGCTTCGTTCTGTAGCGTTACGTTAGAGTACCATAACCTTTTGTTTTTTAACTAATATAAAATATATCCATGGCGGTATCACAGAATTTCTCTCAAAGTAGATTGTTTCCACTTAACCAAAGTTTGTTAGCAAAAAGTTTCAATTAAGCGAAGCAGCTTACAAAACTTATTTCTTTTAATTATAAGCAGTTTGTATCTATCACTTGTAACGGGAACTGCTCAATTTGCAAATTTTACAAGCTTTTGCCAATAAGTTTAAGCTTTTGTAGGTTCGTCATTTTAAAGTTCGTGCACAATGTTTTAGAACTTTGTATGTATGTATGTTTGTATTCTTTGCATTCAGTCTTTCTTTTAACGTCCCACTGTTGGGCACGGGCCTCCCTTTACTACAAGGGGGATCTGAGCAAAGTCCACCATGCTGGCCAAGTGCGTGTTGGCAGACTTCACATGTCCTTCGAAAACTTGCTAGGATCTCTCAGACACACAGGTGTTCTTAGTATGTTTTAAGAACTTAAATTGATAAATTTGAGTTGATATTTAAATTGATATTATTCAACGTTTTTTTTAATTGTTTAAAGATAAAAAAAATTATTTATTACAGATAATAAAACAGCTTTTACATATTTTTTCTGATTCCGATACATACAAGGCCGTGTCGGTTTGACGCACGCTACGTATCTTATCTGTGGAGTGGCGTCCGAATACGCTAATGAGAAAACATTCTGGTATGTATTAATTCGAATATCTGCTTTCTTTCTCAAGCAACAATTTGCAGCTTAATTAGTTCAAATAAAATGTAATTTATTTTTGCTGACAATTTTATACGGGATTTTTACTAATCCCCCCACGACCGCAGACACGCCGGCGTTACAGTTAACAATAGACTCTTAGAAATTTAATTAATTTCTTAGCAATTTACCTGGAAGTGTTATGAATGTAAGACATTTTATTAAGATTTTTTTTATTAGACAGCTCCAATAAATATACCTTACCCAACTAATACGTGGAATTCAGGACTTCACGATCTGTAGCCGTACAAGCTAGCCACTCACTCAACCAACTATAATTGATGCGAAAATTTCTTACTGAGCGTGTATGTTTATAACTTCTTTACGGTGGCACATAAAATTGGCGTTTAACATATAGGCTATTGTTAGGCATTTACGAACGCCTCTGAATGAAGAGAGGGTAAGTCGCTAGTACAAAAGATATAAGTGTTACCTAACAAATCCTTTCCGGGGCGGATAATCCTTGTGGTAGACGGAGTGGTTGAGGATCATCTTCTCTTCGCCGGTGTCGAGCCACGAGCGCTGCAGCACGAAGTCACGGTTCTTGAGCGGTGCAGGACAGGACACTACGAAATCGACATGATATATGTATAATATATTGTTATTCATTATAATAAAGTTGTTATAAGACAGTGGTGGCCCAGTGGTAACGCGCTCGCTTGGGAAACCGAGTGAAGCGGTTCCAATCTTGGGTTTCGCATTTCTGATATTTTTATGTGAAAATTATTTTCAACATGATCACCACTTGCCTTACGGTGAAGGAAAAACATCGTGAGGAAACCTGCATGTCTGGGAGAACTTAGCATGATTTCGATAGACATGTGAAGTCCGCTAACCCCCACTCGGCCAGCGTGGTGGCCTACCGCCTGATACCCCTCGTATTGAAGGTAGGCCCGTGTCCGTGGGTTGTTAAAAAGGGCTGAATATACGTTGTTATAAAGATAAAACAAAGTCGCAAAAGGTGAAATTGATTTTTGACTTTATTAAAAGCTCACCCTACGAACGAAACCGACTCATCCTCACTTCGTCGGTTTCGTTCCTAGATTAATTCCCCATACAAACTTTCATACCCATTTTTACCCCCTTGTGGGGTAATTTCCAGGGTAAAAAACTATCCTATGCCCTTCGCAAAGTCTCAAACTATCTTCTTACCAAATTTCATCTAAATCGGTTCAGTAATTCCAAAGATTGCTTCCTACAAACAAACTTACAAACTTCATCTCTAAATTAATAGATAATGGACAAGGCTCTCCAATTAGGAGTGTTTTTGTATAGGTATATTTAATACGACACATATGTATGTATAATTATATTAATTCAAATTGATTTTCATGATATTTTTAAGGTGGTTTCATGAATAGTTTAACAAAAAAATACAGTCCTACAGATGAAATAATTGTTCATAACTTAAAGTAATTCTATAGTCAGTTACCTTCTAGGTTAAAAAATTATACGTGTTATTTGATCATTTGCCAATTCATAAATACTATGTTATTATAGAATTTGAGCTTATTTCTATTACTTATTAAACTTTTTAAATTTTTATATTGTATAGCGGACACAATAGTCTTGTATACTTGGGAACCTTGGTTTTATGGAGGTCGGCAAAACCAAAACAAACTTTTGTTAATCATATACAGAAGTTTCCCAATCTAAGAGAGATCACACTATCCAGAAGAATAGATTAAATTGTACTCCGTTATCTTTATCTTTAATATATATACCTATAAAAATCCGGACAAACATTTAACTTCGTTCTATTAAAATAACAAGAACATAAATAAATATATTGCAACATTAACACAGAGCACCATCTAGTTCCATGGAAAGCTACGAGGCTTGTGTTATAAGTAAATACCAGATAGTTGATACAATACACATATATACACTCATCACACAAATGAATGCCCCCAGCGGTACTCGAACCCAGGACCGCTGGCACAGCAAGTAGGGTTAGAATGATTATATAAAAACCCCTTTGCTTTCCGCGAAATACTAAAAAAATAGCTTAAATTATTCTTATACAATTCGATTGGAATAGAAAAGAATAAATTTTGTTTTATATATGCGCAAGTTAGACATTGTTCTTGGTTGGTGCGTGGAATTCGCTGATGAGGTAAATTCACGCTCGAACGAACTTGGTAATAGAATACACGTCGCTAAAATAAGGAAGTGTTGAGCTCTTTAAACTTTATTTCTTGGTGGAAGATCTATATTTATTATGTATCTTTTAGAGTGGTTTAAAAGTTTTTTCCTTTAAAATAATTCCATAAAATTTTAAGTAATATCATAAAATAGTAGGCTATTTTCAACGCTTTGCTTCAAGAACAAGCCTCGTGACGAAACCACATGTCTAACTAGTTTTCGAAAATCATATTGTAAAGTTCGCGAATCAGGGTTAGGTCAACTCATAATCCATCATGGATTATGGTCTGATCCTTCTTGCGTTGTGGGAATGGATGCCCGTGACCACAAACCAACTAATTTGACATTGAAAATAATTTTAAAACCATGCCAAATTACCGATGTATAGTAGGTAATATTGTTAAAAATAATTATAAAATAACTAGCAGAACCCGCGGCTTCGCTCGCGATAAAACTACAAAGAAAAAAGGTAGTTTCATACAAACTTTCATCCCCTATTTTACCCCCTTATAGGATGAATTTCGAAAAATGCTAAAACACGTATTTATTTAACTTTATTGAAAAGCATTAATACTAAGTTTCAAGTAATTCTGATCATAATTTTTTTTTTGGATTTTATTATAATGTGTTATCCCGTGGGAATTAGATATAGATAATCTATCAAAAGTTGCCTATGTCATTCTCCAGTCCTCCAACTATCTCCACACAAAAAATCACGCCATTCCGTCACTCTGTTTTGACGTGAAAAAAGGACAAACAAACACACTTTCACATTTATAATATTAGCATGGATTAATATATCTTATAATAGATAAAAAAATCGTGTTTTAAGACTTTTCCTAACATATACCTAGACTTTTTCTATTTTTTAATATCATATAAATCTAATGCCCATCCATGTATTTATTTAAAATATTTAGAAATAAAACATTCTTGTGTTTTTCCTAAGCCAATAATTTTAAACAAAGTCCAAAAGAGTATAGATATTTAAAAGTACTTACATATATATATATATTTACACATTAAATATTTGGTTTAATACGAATGAATATATTATTTGCAATACTAAACTAAACCATGTAATTACATACATAATAAAATAATTTGCAGTATTTTATATTCACTGGTTAATTTTAAATAAAATTATATTTTCTACTGCTATATTTAATATTAATTAATTCCCAACTCTACATGAAGATCTGCGAAAAGAGTTCGAACTGCGATAAAACTTGTATGTTACTCGCGAAGTTTCAGGTATTTCATTAGAGTGGCATCGAATATCTCCATTATACTCTGCTAATAACCTAGTTAATGAAATTTAATTAACCATACATAACACTTGATATATACTTTAGGTGGAATAATGACGATTCTTAAATAGGCTTTGCTTAAAATTATGAGAAAATGTACATGGTTTATATTGATTGATTACTTCTACGCTACATTGGAGATGTTAATTTTGCCAACACTTCCTGAATAAAAAATTGAATTAAATTGAATGATTGATTTAACAATATCATATTAAAATTATTCAATCCAATTCAATTTTCTTGTTAATGGCTTCAAAGTGTTCCAGTAAGGCACAGTATACTTCGCCAGTGACACTTAAAATGGAGAAGAAATCTATACATATAATAAAATTGTAACGAAGTCGATTCTGTACATTGAATATTTTTTGGAAAATCTTATTGGAATAAACATTATTATCGTTACAAAGGCCGAATCTATAGTTTATAGAATTTTTGTCTGTCTGTCTGTCCGTCTTTCTGTCTGTCTGTCTGTTACCGCACCAAAGAAAAACCACTGGAGGGATTTTGATGAAATTTAATAATATAATATAATAATATATGTTAGGACATTAACACACAGCACCGTCTAGTTTCATGGTAAGCTACGAGGCCTGTGTTATGGATACCAGATAGTTGATACACTACATATATATAATTTTAAATACATACATATTATAAATATAAACACCCATGACTGGAGTACAAACATTCGTGCTCATGACACAAATGAATGCCCCCAGCGGGACTCGAACCCGCGACCGCTGGCACAGCAAGTAGGGTCACTCACTACAAACTGAGCCAAACGAGCTGTCATTTGGTATGATTAAAAGTCCCCTAAACTAGCCCCTAAATTAAATTTCGTTTTACGATCGTCTGTAAGCTCATATTTCGAGCACCTAAATTTAGGGGACCTTTTAATATTTAGGTGACCCCTAACTGTTGGCGAAACAGAAACTGTCCCCTAATAGCCCCCTAACCATGCTTAGGGGATCCCTTAAACTTAGGTAACGTTGGTGAAATCGGGCAAAAGTCTCCTTTTTATAACTTAAGAACGTTACGCGAGCGCTACACGAGCGGTTTAATACAAAATAAGGTTACACGTGTAAAATAACCTTTATTCAAACAGAAATAAACGTACACAATTCTAAATGACTATAGCCAAGCTCATCTTATGGAAACTAATAGCAGGTTTGTATTTAGTATAAATAGATCACTCGGCAAGAACACTACGCGCTACGAGTCATACTCGTACATGTATTGCATTGCAGCTCGAAGCTTGCGGACTTTTTGACCCGATTGCAAAATTCTCTCAGGCTGTGTAATATTTTTAATTGAATGACGCACTTACGTGTGTGCATTTTCAACTGATAAAAAGGCAAATTGATTTAATTATATATTAATAGACAGACAAAGCCACTGAAAAATACTAGCGAAAATTGAGATTTTAAATAAATATTACGCAAAATATGGATGTACATACAATCCTCAAAAAATATTTATAAACATATATCCAATATAACAATTTATATCGATCAGAAATCGAATCCGGTACACTAATAGTACACTAGAACACACACTCGGTCCACAATACGGAACACCAGAGGGAGGTCAATTTGAAAGGACTTTGTGTAGTTAAGAATGGAAATTTTAGAAATTCATAGTGGTCTATTTGACCAACTTCAAATAAGAAAAAGAACTGTATTTGTATATATTTTATATAATGAGTATTTTGCCAGGTACCTACTGTATTAGCAATATTATACAGTTTTTAATAATTAACTACGAGTAAGTAGAGTAGGTTTTTTTTTTGAAAAAGATATAAAAATTGCAATTTATCAGAAAAGGCACCTATAACATACTCGAATATAGATAAATGAAAAAAGCAAAAACTTATTTAAGCACAAAATTTGATCCAAATCGTTACAGCCGTTTTCGAGATACATGAAGTAAATTTATATATATATATACACATATACATATATACAAGAATTGCGCATTTAATATTACAAGATAATTTATGTACATAATTATTTCTATTTCACAGAAATACTATTGAACGAGAGGTATTGTAAGTGTTACTAAAATTCTGGAAACTTTCCGCACGTACTTGGAAGGAACGTGATGCACATGCA